ATTCTGTACATTGAGTCAGAACTTACAGATTCTTGCTGTACTTTATCCAAGGTATAGATAATAAAAGATTATAAATGGTAGAAGAACATGTTAAGGGATATGTAACTCAGGGCCTGAATTAGACCTATGGCAGTACACAAATAATATGTCCCCAAATGAACAGAACTTTAAAAAGCATTGCAACCATGAATTGTGTATGGAGCACGCATGATGGGTCAGTCACTGTCCAAGAATACAGTGGTAAATCAGAGGTCCTGCTCATGAGGAAGAGGATTAGTAGGCTATTATGACAAGGACTGTGATAGTTTAGGTCAGGAATACTTAAAGCAGATGGAGGGGAAAAGGTCAAGAGTTAGGAGGCGGGTAAGGGTTCCTAAAAGTCATGTTGACCAAGGAGGCAGAATGCTTCTGGAGGGCAGTGAAAGTGACCTATTTAAGGGACTGAAAGCTGTTCTATGGCTGAAGTATAGAAATGAGGCAGGTATAGTAGACAGGGACTGGTTATGAGGGACTGTTTGCCATGCGAAGGATTTTTGATTATATCCTGAATTTGTTGAGAACCCAGTATTGTTAAAAGTAGCCACTCTCCCCCAAGAGAGTGTCAAATGTATGCATATGCCTTTAAAATATTAGAACATATAGAGAATGTGGAAGGAAGAAATAAAAATCACCTTTAATCTCACGAACCAGAAATAATTACTGTTAAAATATTTCAGTGTTTTTCTAACTGTGTTTCTAAGCATAGGTACATAAGAAAAGCATGACTTTATTGCAAAATACAGTTTTGTGTGTGGTATTTTCTCAGGTCACAACACATGTGAGCATTTTTAAGCCATGCCATTAAAAATTCTTTGAGACATTAACTTCTAATGACTACACATTATAGCCCAAAAGATGACTATATTTTATTATATTTAAATGTCTTATAATGGGTTAATTTTTAACTTGCTTACTTTTTTTTTTTTTGGTACCGGGGATTGAACTCAGGACCTTGTCCTTGCAAAGCAGGCGTGTGAACCACTGAGCTAAATCCCTGGCCCTAATTTTTTATAGCTGTGATAAACAACTTATTTGTAAACTTCCATTCACATCTAATTGTTTCCTTGGATTGCAGTTAGCCATGCCAGTGCTGTAGTGGGCTAGCTCCAGCTGTACAGTGGCGTGATGGGCTTTGTGTGCATTAAACCCTTTATGACAGCACTGTGAAAGTTTCCCTGAAAAGAAGTGATCCTGAGGCAAGCAGCCTAAGGTGGTTATTTGAGCAGTGTAGCCAGAGTATGAAGGGATAAGCTAAGTTACTGCTAAGCAAGGTTAGAGAAAAGGAGATAGTCCTGATGCTTGAGGTGTTTGCATAACACCTTTCTGTAAGCTTGATGAAAGCTCTTGGCACTTTTTACATATTTATTCAGGATTTTAGGAGCCTCTGAAATGGAAGGTGTCAGGGGATTAATGATACGCTTTCCCAAGGTAGGAAACATTAAGAAGGAAGAACAAGCTTGAAGTTTTGATTCAGGAATGGAGAAGTTATCAGTTCAGTATTAGTTGTTGTGTCTTTAAGAATGCAGAGATAAAATTGTCAGGAAGACATTTTACAAATTGGTCTCGTAGCTTAGGAGAGAAGTCAGAGAGGATGTGGGACCCATCCCCACAAAGATGGTGGTGCTGAGACCCTGCACCTAAAAAGCAAGGAGTGCTACATATTAAGGATTTGTGGTAAGAGGACATGGAAGATGGCTTACTGTCTGTCGGAGACCAGAGGAGAATTGAGGCCTAATTGGCCTCCTCTGTGAGCACAAAGGCTGCACTCAGGGGTGATTGTATATTGCAGTGGAGGTTATATGACAGCTGAGGTTAAGTTGTTTACCAGAGAATATACTAATGATATTGGAAAGCAGATGAATCTGCTGTGACTTTGATTTCTTGTGCCATGTTTAGGTGAATAAAAGGAAGGTGAGCCAAAGGCATGGGGCGCCTCTGCCTACTAGAGGTGAGGGCCCCCAGGCTGCCAGCATGTTACACTGATTCCTATCTCTTTGTCATTTTTCCTCGTTCCCCTGGGGCTGGCCAGGTGGGTTGGCAACAGGCAGTGCCCCATTGTAGGACTTGGCTAGGGACCTGGGCTTAACTGCAGTTGGCGCCCAGTACAGGGACTTGAGACCCAGCTCACCTACAGCTTATTCCTAAGTAGCAGACAAGAGAGAAGCTAGAAAAGGAGCTATGAGATAGTCACTACATGAGAATAGTATTGACCGTATTAAGAGAGGCAAGAGTTTCAAGGAAAAGCTCATCAAGCTGTCCTATCATGTAGAGGTAAAGCAAGAAAAGCTGGGGGTGGGGGTGTCCACAGGAGCAATTTAAGTCACCCATACTCGTGAGCCGGCCAGATTGACAATCGTGGGAAGGGGAGTCAGTCTGAATCAATAAGGTGAAGAGTAAATGTAGCCATAGGAATGGTGTTCCTGGTGTTCTAAGATGAATTGTCAAGGGCTGAAGAGTATGATGGAAGCGGCAGAGGTTTTACTTTTTCTTTATACTAAGTAAGGGAAGCTAGGTTTGCAAATTATGTGACTTATATTACCTCTCCAGCATTTGCTATTGTTCATGTTTAAAATCTTTCTATTGGCAGTTATTTTTACACAACACACTCCATCCAAGTTCCCAGTGGAAGCACTGCTGCCCAAACTCCTAGTGTCCTAAAATTCTGCAGAAACCAGTGAGACCAGTGTGTTTGTGCATGTGGTCTCACTGGGTTTTAGTAAGACTCTGTTTTTAAACTTCAACTAATATTTGGAAGTGCAGCTTTAAAATTACAGAATATGCCTATACCCTTGAAGTTTGATTGTTACCTGAAGAAATGGTCAAAAATGATAAATGTTTAAATGTTGCAGTTTAGAGGAGTCTTTTTTGTATTGCCAATTACTGAATGACAGAGAGCTTTAATTCTAACAAGCTTTAATTGGAGAGAAAATAAATCAAAGGGTAGTGTCAACCAGAATCATAGTGAACCAGAACAAGAAAAATTTTATTGGTTACAGAACATAACATCGTGTGGTGTTGTCTTACTTCCTTTACTAACAGTGAAAATACTGCAGGCATCTCAAGGAGGCTCAGACTGTTGGTCTTCTTGAACACAGAATCATTTTGATGGGTGTTTTTCATTGGGGTTGCAGAAAATTATTTACTTTTAAAGGTACGCTAAATGATTTTTGACTTTAAAAAAACAAAGCAGTATAATAGCATTCTCAATGAAGGAGGAAGTAGTGTGGTGTAAATACTGGTTTATGGGTTGACAGCAAATTAGCCTATTTTTGAATATTATTTCTCTCAGAATAATTGCTTTAAAAATGTTGACATTAAAAAGAATTATCACTTTCTCAGAGGTCATTATGTCACATCAGAAAAGTTTGTAGATCAAATAAAACAGTATGAATACATGACTTTGATTTTTATGAAGAACCTGATTATATTTCTCTTAAGATGAGAGTTTACTATTTTCTAAGATAGGATTTTACACTAAAATTCTCAGCCCTTCTTTCTTTTTGTTTTCCAGTGAAGTTCGATATTATTTATTTCAACTACCTTTAGACTTCTTTTCCTTCCCATCCAGTCTAAAGCTTTAATCACTCTTTCACCATTATACCCATCTCTCTTGCACCTTGACTTCATGGACTAATTCAGTTTGCCTAGAGTCAATTTAGGCAGTAGGTTTGACATCTTGCTACTGTACTTGGGCTACTGATTGCTGCTAGATAGAACTTGACAATCATGGCAATTGTAGCCTCTATAAATTCACCACCTTCAATTTATCAGCCCCTCAAGATGGCCCTAGCTAGCAACCTTTATTTGTCTCCCTAAGCAGATCTTTCTTTTGTCACTATTCTGCACTTACACCTGTACCTTTAAACTTCCTCCTGCCACCTGTTCCCTTGGTCTCAGAAGGTGATCTTGACTCCTGTTTTATTGAGGTCACCAGGCAGGAATTTTTGAATTTCTTTTTTTTTTTTTTTCTTAAATTATCTTATTGGTACATTGTAGGTATACAACACAATTACATTTCTCACTGGGAACTTGTACCTTTACATGATGCATCTTGGTTCTTATTTTTTCCCCATTCCTAGCCCTCCCTTCACCCTCTTGAATTTCTTTCTTTATCCCCAACCCCCAGCCCTACTCACACTTTTTTTTCTCAACATAGAAACTTCTAGTTACTTTCCTACTTTTTCTGCTCAACTTTGTAACCAGGTTGCTTAAAAAAACAATGCCCAATTGTTTACCGTTCTCTTTTTCATCGAAATTGTTCTTGATAAGTTTCCCAGTGACCTGTTAAAGCCTGTGAAGTATTTTTCAGCTTTCACCTTATTTTGTCTCTCTATGGCAGTGATGGCGAACCTTTTAGAACCTGTTATCAGTGATAACAGACCTGGGGCACATGTGGCATAGGTACACCATCGCTGCTCAATGACATTTTGTCATTATTGAGCAACTTCAGGTTTTGCTTGTTTGTTTGTTTTTTAAGACAGGGTCTCACAATGTAGTTCAGGTTGGCCTTGAACTCATGGCACTCCTCCTGCCTCTGCCTCGCACGTACTGGGATTACAGGCATGCACCACCACACCTGGCAGCAACTTCAATTTTTATGAAAAACCTCCCTCTTTTGTATTTTCTCCACCTTAGAGTTTCATGAATTCAAACTTGCCAGTTTTCTAAAATATCAGAAAAAAGTAATGCTTTAAAAATAATAGCATATAGTTGTGAAAGCATATAGCCCAATATTAATTATACTTTTATATTATAGAAATATGTTATAATCCAGTATCAAATATACCCTTTTTTTTTTTGGTACTGGGGATCAAACTCAGGACCTTGCACAATACCCTTATTTTAAATAAGAAATATTTAGTTCTTAAAATGCCCGGTACTCCTTTCCATGTGTATATCAAAATAACAATAAAAATATAAGAAACATGTATTAATTATTCTTTGGTTCTTTTTTTTTTTAGTTAATGAAGGAGTTCCCTCTTCTAAGCATGTTCAACATTCATGAAAACCTTTTAGAAGCCCTCCTGGAACTACAAGCATATGCTGATGTTCAAGCAGTTTTAGCAAAGTATGATGGTGAGTCCTGGGGTATTTTATGTGCTCAAGCACTCCTCTCTTCCTGATACATTCAATGATTAGATTGGAGGGATCTTTTCAAGTAGCACAGCAGTTTAATAACTATCAGAAACTTGTCACCTACAATTAAATAGTGGTGTTTTATAAAATCTTTGAACTTCACTTTAATAACTCTCCTATCAGGAACTTTTCACCTGTAGTGAAATAGTGGTGTTTTATACAGTCTTGGAACTTGGTGCTCAGCAAGGGCTTGTGTCCCATTCTTCTCTTACCCTTCCCAAATACTCCCCTGGCATTGTCCCTGTGCAGCAGTTGTGTATACTCTGCTTTACTCCCTCCGTGGTCAGGAATCACTGCAGAATCACTCCTATCCTGTTTGGACAACGCCAATTATTAGAAGACTTGGGCTAGGGATTTAGTTCAGTGGTTTCGCTGCCTGCTGCACAAGCGTAAGGACCCGAGTTCAATCCCTGGTACCAAAAAAAAAAAAAAAGACTTGCTATGACTTCTACATTGGTTCACTGTGACCATTATCCATTGGCCATGTTGATCCTCTGAAGCAATATAGAACACCTAGTAGCCCCTGCACATGTGACAACTCAGTAGATTCTCAAAGATAAAATTGTGTTCCCTTCACCCTTGATCTTTTTCTATTGCAGAATACCCCCATTTCATGATGGGCTTTCAAGTCCCTCCACTACTTTAGCTACGTAACCATGAACTTATTCTGTTTTTCCTATTCTTAACAAATGAGAAAAATAGACTGGCACATCCTAGAGGTTTTTAAACATGTCTCATGTTGCTGTTATCCATGAATTCAGTATTTGATTAATCATACAAAAATTATTGGCAGAATTACCTGCCATCACCTAGCTACTGAAATATCTGCAGAACTCCATACTATTCTACTTTATTTCAAAAACTGTCCCCAAAATGAATGTGTTTGCTTATAAAATACTCTTTTTTTAGTAAGCATCTTTAGTTTATTTAAAGAAGTGTTGAGGTCAGTAGTTTACAGGAATTCATCAAACACATAAAGTAAACTATACCATTTGGGTATTATTTTTGACACAGAATTTTTAATAAGGTATTCCTGAAATGGATTGGCTTTGTTATCTCTCACAGTTGGGACAACTGAGGCATTATGAGACTGTTTTTGTTTAGTTTTTCTCCAACTCTTGCTCAAATTGATGGAAATTAAGCCTTCAGCCAATAACGGCATTATTTTTCCTTTGTAGACATGAGCATCCTGTGTAATAAGATATATACTTCTTAGTATGGAACTCATTTTAGAAAAGAGAAAAGTATTTGTGGAACACTTTACAGTAAACAAAATAAAGACTGTTTGGCCCTCATGTCAGCTCATTTTTATTTTCTTGTTATATGCTAGAATCTCACTGTTCAGCTGAACAATAGTGTGGACTTGGTGGTCTAAGTTAGCAGGCTTTCTTGTAGACAAAATACTACATTGAGATTCGAGAAGAAGCTGAGCTTTGAGTCTGATCAGTGCTGCTCTGGGCAGCAAAGACAACATTGAGATTCTTTTAGTATCAAAGGAACCCTTGCCCATAGGTTCAGGTGGCAGTGTACTTTTCCAAATGTCATAGCAAAGTTCCAGTGTGCTCATCCACAGTGCTGACCTGTACTCAACCTGATATCTCAAAGTTTAAGAAATAAAGATTTAGCAAAAAGAGCCTTTGGGATCATAAATTTTATGAGGCTCCTTTCATGAAGATCTCGGTTCATTATAGAAATCACCATTCTTGTGTTATAAAACTAATTGCAAAATTAAAAATGAACTCATTTGGAGCTATTCGTTTTCTTTACGAATCCCGATGCACAGCCTCTGTTCTACAACAACCAAAGGCTGATATATTAGATTCTGATAACATATGTTCTTATTATTTGTTACAACAGTCCCTCCAACCCTCCCACTAAAACTTGGCTCCCACTTGGAAAAATTCCTTTGTTGCAAATGGACAAACTCACCATATCAAGGCTCTTGGGTTGAGCTTTGTTTATGTGTATACCTGGCAACAGAAATAATGTCCTTGTTCATTATTCATGGAAAAAGAGCTTCATTAGTGCCAGGACACATACTGTTGCTGAGATGCCTCATTAGGGGTTTTGAGTTCAGAAGTTGTCCATAGAGTGCAGATGACCTAACCTTGACTGAATTCTGAAGGGAGTTTTGGTGCTGACTTGGCTCAGCTCTCCATCATTTACAGTAGAAATATAATGAAGTGGCTGCTGAAGTTACTGTTTTTGAGGGTGACTGCAGCCACTCAAGACTGTTGAAAAACTTGTCTCTTGTTCCTCATTCTGTACCATAAAATAGGTTCTTTCAAGTTCATCTCTATTCCTTTTCCTGTGGACTTGAAGGACCCTGCCTGAGCTGCTGGCACTTTATCTGGCTCTGTGCAAGGGAAATGGGTGCTTAAGAGTGCTTGAAGTACAGACAGCTTTTCGGGACACCCTATTCTTCACTCTAGCTCAAGTGTCATCATTCTTATGTGTGAGATGTTGGAGACAGCACTTTGAATTCCAGCCCCTCCCTCCCTCTCCATAGAATCACACCCAAAGGAAGAGGATTATATGTTATCTTTGCAAATTGGAACTTCTTGGATGGATTATGGGTAGGTATATCAGTATGTTTTCCCACTTTTTTTCACATCTTTTTTTGGTTGATATTAGTGGATCATTGGCCACACAGACTAATGGATTTATTTAGCAGATTCATGCATGCACATAACATATTTTGATCATCTGTAGTCCCCCTCCCCCTAGTATATCCATCCTGCCCCTAATTTCACATATTTTGGAGGTTTAGTGCACATATTTTTATAATATCCATCCCCTATTACCATCCCTTATTCCCATCCTTTTGTCTAGTGACTCCCTTCTATTTTCATGTCATCTTTTTATAGGTTCCATATATTAGAGAGATCAGGTGATATTTGTCGTCCTGAATCTGGCTTATTATGTGCAATGTGATGATACCTAGATCCCTCCATTTTCCTGCAAATGACAGAATTTGTTCTTTTTTATTTGTTTTTTAAAAATAATATTGCATTGTGTGTATATGTATTATACACCATATTGTCTTTATCCATTCATCCATTGATGGGCACTTAGTCTGGTTGCATACTTAGCAATTGTGAATTATGCTGTAATAAACATGGTTAATGCAGGTATCCTTATAGTATAGTGACTTTAATTCCTTTGGCTTTATACAGAATGTTTAAGATGGATCAAATAGTAGCCCTATTTTTAGATTTTTGAGGAACCTCCATACCGATTTCCATAGTGGCTCTACTTATTTACATTCCCACTAGCAGTGTAGAAGAGTTTCTTTTTTCCCCACATCTTCACCACTATTTATTGTTTTCTGTATCCTTAATGATAGCCATTCAGACTGGAGTGAAATATAAATTTGATTTGCATTTCCCTAATGACTGAAGATGTTGAATGTTTTTTCATATGTAGTATTTATCAGCCATTTGTACTTCTCTTGAGAAGTCTCTGTTCAGCCCTTTTGCCCATTTATTGATTGGGCTATTTGATTTTTTGGTGTTAAATCTTTGAGACCTTTATATACTCTGGATATTAAATCCTCTGTCACAAGAGCAGCTGGCAAAGATTTTCTTCCCTTCTGTAGGCTGTCTCCACTCTATTGGTTGGCTCCATTGGTGTGCAGAAGCTTTTCATTTAATGTCACCCCATTTGTTGTTTCTTGCTGTTCTTTCCCAAGCTATTGGACTCCTCTTCAGGAAGTCTTTGCCTGTGCCTTAAGGCTTTAAGGGTTTCCCTGCTCTTTTACAGTTTCAGGTCTTATACCTACCACTTTCATCCATTTTGAATTGGTTTCTGTATAGATTAAGAGATAGAGACCTAGTTTCATGTGGATATCCAGTTTCCCTAGCACCATTTGTTAAAGGTGCTGTTTTTTTTCCTATGTATATGTTTGGTTCTTATGTCAAGAATCAGATAGCTGCATAGGTTTGCTTCTGTGTCCTGTGTTCTGTTCCATTGGTTTATGTGTCTGTTTTGGGGCTGGTTCTATGGTGTGTAGTATGATTTGAAACTGGCCACTGTGATGCCTTTGGCCTTGCTCTTTTTGCTTAGGATTGCTTTGGCTATTTGGGGTCTTCTTCTGTGTTTCCATGAATCTTAGGATTGCTTTTTTGTAGTTCTGTGAAGAACGTCATTAGTATTTTCATGGGAATTACATAGAATCTGCAGACCACTTTTTGTAATCTGAGCGTTTTGACAATATTCCTTTTGCTGATTCATGAACATGAGTGGTATTTCTATCTTCTAGTGTCTCCTTCAAGTTCTTTCTTCAGTGTTTGGTAATTTGCATTGAACAGTTCTTTCACTTCCTTGGTTAGATTGACCTCTAGGGTTCTTTTTTTTAAGCTATTGTGAATGGAATTGTTTTCCTGATTTCTAGTCCTTTATTGGTGTATAGATAAGCTATTGATTTTTAATGTTGATTTTTTTGTCCTAAGTCCTTTATTACTTAGGTGGCTAAATTTTTTAATTGATGATACAGAATAACGAGATTCATTTTGGTACATTGAAAATGCCTGAATACTTTTAAGTAATTTGTTGGGAAGTGACACAAAGAAAATGGTGCTGATTTTCTGATCTTTGTAAAAATTGTTTAGAAAAATAGCAAGATACAAGGAGGACAAAAAACTTGGGGAAAGGAGGAAGGTAAAATGTATTCCCTTTGCTTTACTCTTCTTCTGTACCATTACAAAATGTTTTGTCTGTATGAAAATCTTTGACAACTACAAACTCCTCTGGTAATGAAGAATTTTGGAAATTTTCTACTAGAATTACCAGTTAATTGATCATACTTCTTTGTAATTTGCAGTCTAGTTTTGATTTTGCCCTTGAGATATTGTCTCACGTTTTATTACTCCAGTTGTTAGTCTGAAGTGCTGTCTTTTCATCCTCAGGAGCTTTCATACTCTTCTTTTTTCAGTTTAATA